ATTTTCTCCAGTAAAGGCAACAGCCTTTGACCAACAAACTGTTTCACGTGTAACTCAAGACAGAGAAACTGAACGTCATGATGAAGACCAACAAGTTCACGAAGCTCCTGTTACGAAAGAAAAAGGGAAACAAAACGACTATGTAGTTCTTTTAACTGCAGCTTTAACACTGAAAAGTTCTTGATGTTTAATTTTGATGAGATTTCAGAGCATTTGATATCGATGTACAAACTGAGGACCCACACACATTCACATACAGGATGACAAAAAAAAAAAGAACAACAACTCAACTAAAGATGCAATAAATCAGGCTATTTATAAAATAAAGGGGGTAAGTTTCCGACTCACGCTAACAACGCAGTTGATAAAACCAAATTACCCTATATATAAAACATCTGAGATGCTACGAGCGACCCGATTGGTCAAAAACCTGTCGTTTAGACCCATAGAAAATCAAAACATACTGCGTTTTGTTTTAAGTTTATTTAATAAATAAAATATACCCCACTTTCTATCGGTTTACTGGTGTAAATCACTCGCCTCCCGCTCGTGATTTACACACTTCTCTCTTGTTCTCGTAACATCCCGCGTGGCTTAAGACGCTGGTAACAGAGAGAACGTGCAGTCTCAGTATTGTTTAACCCTCGACTCCCTAACATCAGTATGAATATTCTCCATACTACTCCCTTGAAATTTCCTAAGGTTCTGACAAGGAGAATTTGTCGAACAATCAAGAGCTTCTCTAGTTGGTGATCATTTCCTTTATTCTCATCACTTTAATGTTTAATTCAGTGGTGATATTGTAAGGAGAAGTTAGATGTTAGTCAGTCTTAGGGGTTAAAGGGTTAAATGGACAGCGGCAAAAATCATCCATCTATTGACTGACTAACGAGGATCTCAATGTACGAGATCCACATTTAAAACTCACTGCCTTGAATGCAACTCTTTCAGTTCACTACTTAAGCATCTACCACGACCATTTTGAAACAACCTTTTTGATTTTCACAAGGACGTGCTTCGTTCGTTTTTTACCTTAACAGAAGAGTAGGTGAAGTCTATTGAGCCACACTGTTGGTCAAGCCCAGCGCATGATTTAGCGCTTGCGCAGCGTTGAATTTCTTCAGGTATCCAGCGTGAAAGAAGTACACACCCTCTATTCCACTCTTCCCAGACAATGGAGGTGACCCGCGGGCGGTCCCGATCAAACGCAACACATTTACCGCTGAGGCATTCGTCTGGCTGCTCCTCAACTGAGAAGTTATAACAATAATTTATGAAATATTTTAATATTAAAATCTGAAACTCTGGTTCTGTGCCTCTGTCGAGCTTGAATTCTGGTGACTGGACAACTACGATATCATAAAATGATAAATTAGCAATTCTCTTGATTTGAATCAGAAGAATTGTGTCAACACTTTACTCGAGAATCGGTAGAGGCTGACATTACAGCCCACAAGTCATTACATACTCTTGACACTGGTGTGTTCGTATTCCTACCTCTGCAATTTCTTGCTTTGTGTATCTGGTCGAGTACTAATGGTGTTAAGTTATGAGATCGTTATCATAGATTATTCTGGTGCCTTGCGTCTATTTTGCAAAACGTAATAGAGGTACAACCATTAAAAACTTCTTACACTACAGTTTCACAGCAGGGCGTTCGTATCTAGGCGACGAATAATTTCATGATACTATTTTCTTCCGCAGGTAATATCGAAAAGCTCCTTACCGTGTGAGAACAAGCAAGTCGCTGATTTAAAAAAAAATTCATCTCCTGAAAAACATTTTCATTACTCATTTCAGCAATTCCATTGCTGTCATAAACACGTGTATGACCAAGTCGCGGTTTTACTTTGGTTCAAATTTCCTCGTTTGATTCTGTGCCACACAAGTGAGACATGACGTTATTTACGGATAGGGGATTCCCCGAAAATTTTCACAAAATAATTTGCATAAGGAAAAGTCAATTCGAAAGTCACGCAATCGTTTGTTTACCGTTCGTTCTCAATCGTTAAACGAGACATTTCATGTGTTGATAGCCAACGAAAAGTTGTTAGTTTATCGACAAGTTATACCTCGCGGTAAATCATAAAAAAATATGAGTAGAGTACTCCAAAACATTCATTAACAACTTATGACCTGAGGCCAATAAATTGTTATGCATAGGGAGTACTAGCTCTAAAACTTCTTCGCTCATAAAGTTCCCACACAGCAAATGCCAGCTACGGTATACGTTCTTCTTTGGCAGCTCTTTATATCTGTCGAATAAAAGAAAAATTGCGTAACTAGGGTTTCAGTACCTTCCTCAGTTATGTGTAACTGGCCACCGATTCTTCGGATGCTACACTATGGAGTTACCCCGAAATCACAACTCACTTAATATTTTTTGTGACCTGACGTTACGCGCTTCTTTCCCAAAAATTGCAAATTTCATTAACTACTGGTGGAAAAAGGACAAAAAGTTCGTAAAAATCGTATTTTTCGCAAAGAGAGAAGTGTATCTAAATGAAACAACTTGAGAAACACTGACGTGCAACATCACAAGCTTCTCACGGTTTTAAAAGCGTGTAATGTTGGCGTCTACCCAGGGATGATGGAAGCATTTCAAATGAAGTAAAAATTTGAACACCGACTTTAATAATGCATCTCCTCGTGTTCTCCAGCCCCCTTGTCGAATCTCTTATCCTTTTCTTCACGCAGTTTATCTGCAGGGTTGTTAGGATTATCCCGTTTGTCTTTCACTTCTCTGATCTCCTCTTGCGCTCCCTTCGGTCCCGACCCTTACTTTGCAAAAATTTCACGACAAGCCATGCCGCGATAATGCCGCTTAAGGTGCCGCATACTACACTCCAAAGAACTTTGTTGGGGAACATTTCATCAAGTTAGTCGGAAACCAAATCTATTCACCACGTCTCGCGACTGAAACGCCTTAAGTGTTCTTCAGTGCGCCTCCACAACACTCGCGAACTCGAAATATTCTGCTGGATATAAAGTCACCGAGTTTTGAAGAGCACCGTTTCCATGGCGTTTGAACATTTTGTGACATGTCTTGTCAAGCACGACGAATTTCAAATTCTTAACCTCTCTATGCTGTGACAAGTCGAAATCAAAAGCCTAAAAAGATGGGCCTCGGGCTAAGCTTAGGACGCCACAAAAGAGCGACTTTAAATAAACCCTGAAGTGATGAACAAGCAGCTTCTCCCGATAATATCTATATATTATCCTGTAAAAAGGTCATGAGAATACCCAAACTAAACTACGTTGTTATCAGAATTATGATCAAATAAACCACTATGTATTCGTGTGGAGTCTGTTAAGTTTTCCTCTTTCAATGGTTCGTCATTTTATCTAACTCCGCTTAGTCCAGCAAAACAAAACACGCGCTAACAGTACGATCTTCTTTAATGTTTACTCCGGTTGACAACAAAACTTCAAATGCACTTAAGACCTAAAGATCTTGAAAAAAGGGACCTCAGACGACACTTTGCTTTTGAACTACCAAATAGTTCATGTTTTGATAGCCTACAAACAGTCCTTGTCTACTCACAAATGATTGACAGTCATCGATGGAGATTGTTACTTTATCGACATGTTATAACTCACACTAAATCATAACAAACTAGCTTTGGAGGATTCTAAAACCTTCACATATAACTTCGTATTTTGATAGCCTACAAACAGTCCCTGACTACTCACAAATGTTTGACAGTCATTGACGGAGATTGTTACTTTATCGACAAGTTATGACTCTTAGTAAATCATAATAAACTCTATATACAGAATTCCAAAACCCTACACTAATAACTTATGACCAATGACAAATAAGTTGTAACATATAGAGTATCAGCTCTAAAAACTAATCTTGACTAATCTTGCTCAAAAAATCTTTGTTTCACACAGCAAACGCCCACGGTACGGTAAAAGTTCTTCCTTGACAGCTCTTTATATCTATTGAATTAAACACAAAAATCGCATCACCAGGGTTTCTTAACCTAATAATGATTTTTCAGTTTCCATACAATTCATCTTTGCCGTGTTAGATTTCACGTGTAGTGTTACGTGATTTTCGATGTAAACAAACCGTTCGACCATCAGTTAAATCACGCATTACATTTGGTTCTTCGCTGCCACTGTTGCGTGTTATCCACGCACCAACACGCAAGTGTTATGTAACAAAGTTATTGAGGTTATTGTTCATCGTGGTTTAAGTCAGGAGATTATTCAGTTGTTCATCGTGGAGTAAGACAGGAGATGAACTTTATTCGTTTGTCTCATGATGGAGTCACTGTCAAGAGGTTATCCATATAAGACTTCATCGCAACGACTTCAACCCGGATAGCGGAATCAAAAATTCCCGACGCTTGGATACACACGATCAAATAGGGCAGCATACAGCAGTCAATCAATGTGGACCAATAAGGGAACACCATATACCAACCGGAAGCATTTCAACTGAAATAAAAATTTGAACACCGACCTTCATAATGCATCTCCTCGTGTTCTTCAGCCCTCTTGTCGAGTCTCTCATCATTTTCTTCAGGCAGCTTATCCGCACAGTTGTTAAGATCATCCTGCTCGTCTCTCACTTCTCTTATCTCCTCTCGCGCTCCTTTCGGTCCATTTCCTTTACTTTCCAAAATTTGAGGTCAAGCCATGCCACGATAACCCCGCTTATGGCACCGCATACTAAACTACTAAGAAGCTTTTAGGGGACATTTTATGAAGTTCGTTGGATACCAATGCAAGTCGATTTAAACTCAAAACTTTCTGTACTTTTCATCTAGTACCGCACTGAAAAAG